CCTTCTTGGGGCTCATCAGGTAGGCGCATTCCCCGAGTTTCCGTCAACCTTATGTTCTACTTAAACCCAAATTGGACTGTTTTCGAGAAATACACTCATTTGCAAACCAATTTGGTTTTCACGAGAGACTCAAGTGAATCCCTCGTTTATGATATTTTACAGCTGAATTTGCTGCACACAGGCCGCCTCATGTTTCAGTTAGGACGATATTCGAGATATCGCAGTATATTTTCGTGGAGGAAATTACTCACAAGGTTGCTGAGAACTCTTTGACACTTCGGAAAACCAAACTGATTTGCAAATGAGTGTATTTCTCGAGAACCACTTCGTTCATATGAAAACTGTACGTTAAAGTGCACATGTCGGTCGTCCTACGCACGATCGTTTTTCTATAAAGTTGTTTCATATTTTTTCGAAAAAAAGTACTCACAAGTTCGCTGAACCTCCTTCTTGTTTGGTGTTCGGGTAATCTTGACCAAGGTTGAAAAAACGTTTCCGTTTGCTGTCGCATGCTTGTACTTCCTTAATACGGAATCTCCTCGCTCCATTGAATAGTTAAGTGTGGCGTTCGATTGCGCCGTCCACGACCGAAAATAACTTGGTCCTAACGGTCTCAGCGGAACCCCGAACAAGCATACAGTCATACTGCCACTCTCTGAGAAATACAATTCGAGAAGCGACATTTGCAACTGAATTAAACCCATCCAATATTGCACCATGGTTATAAATTTAAAAATTCCAACAACCAAAGTGTTTTTTTAAAATCTATAATGAAACGCTCAAAAAATCTTCTTGGACTATCGACACACTAGGCTATGTTCGTCCACCAATTTACTACTGACAGAATTTTTTTATTAGCTTCAGGCCAAATCGTCTCTGACGCCACACCGATCCAAATTGACATCTACCGGTTTTACAAGACCAGTTACGGAGACCGATCGATCTAACCAGAAGTATCCGGTTGTCTGTGATTGTAGCCCATGCGGAGACTTTCACGTGATTCACCTCCCACGCGCACAGTGGAAGTGCAGTGTTATTTGACCTTGAACCCGATGAATGTAAACGCGACAACGGAAACTTATGAACCGTCACAAAGTTGCATTGCGGTATCGACGGTGTCAGTGTGACAAGTGACACTAATTCGTATAACTAATCAGGGGAATGGAGGCAGGAATCAATGAACCAGAGGAGCGAAATGCAAGTCCTGCGTGAACTGTGAACTTTAGCGGACTACTAGCTTTGGAGATGAACTGTTGCGGATTTTATTAGGGTGAAAGAACTGTTGCAAAGTGGGGTTCCATAACCGTTGGTCGTATTTAGTATGTTGTGTTCAAAGAAACAAGGGCATGGAAGACCGTATCACTATGATTTCAGAATCAACAAATTTCTCTTATCGTCATCGTGGAGTGTAAAAGAAGCAAAAAGGAGATGGATAATAAAGTGGACAAGGTTAGAGCGACAAAGCCTCAGGCGGAGGACAGCTAACTACCATCAAATCTCTTGTTAGACACCATGCCGGTTCGAGGTTTTTCATCAGGCGGAACGATTTCAAAACATGTCGAACAGGATTAGTTCTTCAGATATTGGGATAGGCTCGTGCTGTTCCTAGGTTCGAAGTAATATAAGGTGATCTATGTAGATTTGTTCCAGGACTGCAAGTGACGCAACTTCTTCGCCGTTTCAGGAATCCGAAAAACCGGGTTAACGGCGTAGACTGGACGGTAACACCAGTGCTCCGTGTGTACACCGTGTGCACATCATTAGTTTCCTCCACCGTACCTTATCTCTGACCTTAAAATTTTGTGACCTTTTCGGTCAAATTTAGATGTAATGTTGACTATAGGATTACATGACAAAGAAAACGGTTCCCCTTGACGTGTGTATCCAACAGATGGACAACATTCACTGGCTATTTCCAATTTACTGGACTTTACAAAACCGTGTGAACGAGAAACAATGGTCAGATACGAATGTGTTGTTTCGAATGCTGGGGTGTCTTGTTTCGAGGAAAGCTGGAAACTTTCGTGACAGTTGTCACATCAAATCAATGGCGGGTGGACAAGACTGAAACAACCATTCGATGCAGCTCGAAATTTTACACCAAAAACTGTATGCTTTTTCGAACTAAATAATGAGTGACGAGCAACTATTGACTTTTTTTTATTATTTCTGGTCAGCTGGATCCGAGATACCACGAACAGTGCCTTGATACAACCACACGGTATACCGAACATCTCAACCACTCGATAAAAACGAACTGAGGATTACCACAGCGTTTGGCCGAGCAAAACGAAGGCTGCATTCACATGTCAGTCAAATTTGGCTATTTTCAAATGATCACAACGAATACGGGCGTGAATCGAAAGTTTCCTATCGGTAGGTTTCGATTTTAAACTACCTGTGGAAGGAGAAGGCCTTCTATTTATTAGAAAATGCCAACTGACCAGTTACAGACTTTTGAACAGGGAAGCAAAGCTCTCATATACATCTTAATTCCAAAAACTGAACATCCATCTTCTCTTGAACTCATCTTCCTGAAATTTCCGGGGTATTCGTTGACTATTGCTCAAATTCAAGCAAATGCTTCAAAGCAACTTCACAAATTCCGCAATAAATCTCCCTTTTCAAGAGACGCAAAGCGGACTTACAAGAAAACATACTACTCGCATGCCTTCACCATAAGTAGTATCACCGTCACACCTGTACTGGTTAACGAATGACAGGATTAATTGTACTCAGTGTCACGTATATTCATTTGGGTTGGGGCATGTGTTTGAAGATGATTGCTCGCTCCATTCGTACAATGCAGGGTTTATCAACGCAAGCAAGCACGATACAGTTGACGTGCACATACATGTAGCATATATGCCCGCGAGACATTGTTGCATCTGTCCCGGATGTGCTTACAGGTCATTCTGGCCCGGATTGCCAGGAAGTTCAGGAAAAAGTTTTATGACTCATCTGAGATGGCTAGCTTTCAATCCCGAGCCAAACTTGGATGAACCGAAATGTTCCAGATAAAACAGTGTAGTAGTGCGGTCCTTTGACCTGATACGACGAAGTCCGTAGTTCATATTTTTCACGATTGGTTGGATCAGTCTGCTTGGTGGATCCACTAAAAGAAAGTACACATGTAATCAAAGAACTATCGAAGTGATTTAAAGGTCACGAGCGATCGTACTTGATGCGTGGTTTTCACTCACAAGGAAAACAGAACTCATTTACTATTTAGGAGAATGTGGGCAACTCGGTTAGCTTAGATGGTCGTTGCTTTGCTCGCTGAGCTGGGCAGATTCCATGCAGTCGCCTATCAATCAAGGCACGGAAAACAACCAATAGAATCGCCCGACCGAACAACCAACCAGGGTTGAAGGTCGGCCACGGCTAGCGTTTTAACGCACCATCATTGATCCATCGCTGCGCTGTACTCCACACCCTGCCAACGCGAAGAATTTATGTTGTTGCCGGAATTGTTTCTTTTTATACAGGTCTCTCGTGGTCCACACCTGTCATTCCCGTAAGTTTTTAACCGCCCAAGTGTTAGCGTGCACTGTTCGATCAGTGTCTCGCAAATTGCATGTTCGAAACAGAGCACAGCCAGTTTGTGAACTGATGACGAGGTTAAATCTGAGCAACAGCAATCCACAACTGTTGTATGACATTTTCCAGCTTCATTGCCCCGACTGGGACCAGAATTCTCTTCACCGCACACCAAGTCTAAATATTAGTATTTCGAATAGTTTCATCAGCTTCCAAATGCATCATACCTATTTCTCCAACACTTTGTATGTGGAAGCTAGCAAGACAAATTTTTTTCAAACAAAAATCCGTGGCTTTTCCCATGAAATAGAATGCCGCCGTCCAGTCTTTCTAGCCCCTGGAGCTAAGTAGCATTCTGGAGAGGAAAACGTGCGTGTCCAATTATCCTCGTCCGAAATTCCCTGCTTGCTTCGACTGTCTGATCGCTTCGTAAGCGCAATCGGTCAGACCACTCGGCAGGACCGTTTGGTATTGGATATTAATAAGATCAGGCGAATGTTTTGAGACGAACACAACTCATGCGGTGAATTTCCAACCAACGAATTTCGCCGTCAACTCCTAAGAATGCATGAACTGAGGGAGAAAAGTCGTTCTCACCTGCCGATTTTGCGGTGTGAAGTATGTGGATAGTTCCAGTTCTCAGCTAGTTTTTCCTACTTTGGATGTATGAAAATAAATACAATGGGATCCACTCAAATGTGTGGAGCTTGTTTTTTACTACAGGCGCTGACCGAAAGTCACACTAGCCCCTTCCTGCCGGTGTATGCAACCGAATTTGATCACAAGAGTTACGACAGAATGGATTTGTTTATTCTTTTATCAAGCAGAGCTACCAAAACTCATCTTCAGCAGCTAAGCTAGCACAATTCGCATTTTTCTCTTCTTCGAAGAACAGCATTTTGAAGGCTGAGTCGGTGGCCAGGAGGTAGAGGTGGTGGAGGAAAGCATACAATGGTCCGGGTTGACGCGATCGACTGAATCGCATGACAAGTTTACTTCAGAGATACCTCGGAGATAATTTGGAATGCGCACTACGAATGACGTTACAAGGTAGCGGAGATTAAGTAGTACGTCCTAATAGGGATGGGAGGCGAGATGGCTCTGTGGTTAGAGCGCGAATTTACTGACCATAAGGTCCGTGGTCCGAACCGGACCTCTCTCTCGACTTCCCCTGCCTAAGCTTGGGCAACCTGACAGGACCAGAATCCAACATAGATCTCTCTAAGCGGTACAAACCTTGGGATGGCATTGTTGCATGCTGTCATAACTAGTCAGAGCAATCAAGGTATTACAACACGTCTACAAGACTGTTCTAACCATCCAATCTAGGGAAGAAGCCCAGAACATGGCACAAAATCGGCCCAAATGTGACAGCAAAAGCGACTGGTGCCCCCAGAGCAAGTGAAAAAAATTCGTCTTAGGAAAACACCGGTAATCGCGTGTATTCGTGAACAAATGCCAAGCGAGGTGAAAAAAATACATTGTGTCATCTGCAAGAAGTAGGAGATGTTGCGGACACATTTGGTGGATAGGGATGCGGAAGGGTTGACGAAAGTAATCTGTTGAGCAACAATGGGTAGTAAAAATGGGCTCTGATGAACGGGAAATGGTAGAGATGGACGAGTGAGTGAAAGGAATGGCCATTAGCGACAAACGCCGGATGTCTCGTTGAGGTACTGTGAACAAAAAAGAGTGTGAACACAAAATGAAACGGGTGAAAACGAACCTATTTGATACAGTAATAAACCATTTTGGGTTTTTTGTAGGTAGTGAGATTTTGAAATCAAGTGAATACGACTTGCGCTGCAAAGCACTCTACAACTGTTTTGTCCATGTTGGAAGTGGTCTTTAAGGTGACTCGACTCCGAAACCTTCCGGTTGAAAAAAAACAATGTTTGGATCCAAGTAATGGTGTCCAAATATGACACTCATCCATCAACCACGCAGTTCACATCGCGTGATCTGCCTCCTCGATTGACAAGTTATTTGAGAGACTCATAAAACTTGTGGGAAATAGTCCCTTCTAAGTGGATTACTTATTCGAGGGTCACGTGAACGACGAGTGCTGATCAAACATACGTGACCGGATGGTATGGTTAACTAGAATGGACCCGGATATCTGTGAGACGCGCAGTGCTGACGAGTCCCAATTAGGATGAAAGAACCGTACAGTGCTTGTATGAATTTTAGCCTCGATCGACTTCGTATGTGTGATAAAATCTCAAAGGAATTTCGCATTCCATCCAGTGACTCACTGTACCTATTATCACCTAGGGTAAAGTGAGTAAGCACAAGTTGCCATGACGAAATTAAAAAAATCCTGATGTTAACGATTAGATCAACTGACGTTAAGAGCCACTGCCGATACTCAAAATCACATCGGGTGCTTGATACATGAAAACCAATTAAACGGACCCTGAAGCAGGTTCCAAATACACTAAAAAGTGCCCTACCCTGTGACGGCAGAATAGGAGTGAGATTAGGCAAGTTTAGGTTAAAAATTTGTAAATAGCCTAAAAACAGCACAAAAATAATCATATCCATTCGACATGCAACAGCTGGTATGTGACACTTGACTTCGGACAAGAGACTTATTGGCAGTTTCGCAATGAACGAATCGGACCAGCTACACAACTCGCGTTGTCTCAAGGCTGTCCAGCGAAACATTTTTTAAATCGATCTGGCAAGCAATCCAGATGAGTGAAACCCAACCTGCCCAGATGTAGAAATGCAGAGGAGCCTTAACGCATCCATCCGGCTGAACTAAGGGGGGGAGGGGTGAAACATCAACCGCGACAGGATGTAGAATAAGACATACCCGAGTGTTTCGTTGGATGGGAGTTTCAACAGCAGGAAAGCTGTTGTCATCACCCGACACGGGGGGTCCTAAAGGCAGTTTGGCACAACTCAAAGCGATTGGTGGTTGTGGTTTCCTCTTTCCTTCAGCGCCACGTCGCGCAGTGGTGGACGATGGCGGACGGCGAGAAGCTGGAAGGCGTCGAACCTTTACAGTGGCCTGCTCATTTGGGATCTCGAAAGCAATAGAGCTCTACAACGTGAAAAAAACAAAGGAACTCGATGAATTGAAGTCAAGCGTTCAAACTCCGTGCATATTACCCCAAAACAAACTAGACATTGATATTGGTTCGACTCCACCCTTGGTATCATTCTTTCGGGTCGGTTTTTCTTACGAGCGGGTAGGCATTCACGGATGAACGGTCTGATTATTAATGATGATAATTTCTGGTGGGCACGATTCATAGCTAACAAAGTCTTGGTTAAGCGGAACACAGCGGAAGCAGACTGACTGTAATGGCAGGCGGAAAGCTAGCGTGATAGCTAACGTGCAGGTACAAAGCGCAATTATTTATGGCACGTGGATGACCGCAGTTTAATCGGAAACGTTATCTGGACGCCCGTTCAACCTTACACCACCACCACCACCCCACCAACCTGGGTGTCAACTATGAAAATCGAATAAAATATGGTTACTGCAAGAGGTGTGAGTCACGATGTGTGGTATGGACCACTGGCCGCATGCGTCCATGTGGTTGTGTTGGGGGTGCGGCCGTGGTGGTGGTGGTGGGTGGATTCCGGAAGGTGACAGGAATTAAATGAGTCACCAGAAAACGTTTGGGTAAATGCACTTTGATGCGGGCCGATGGGAGGCCGATAGTGATGTGAACTAAAAAGACAAGGTTCAGTGAGTCCATAAGGTATGAGTAGGTGGCAGGCCTACAAAAGCTGAATAATTCAGCGCGGAATCCAAGTTATGAAGGAGCAATACTGCGGTCAAAACTGGATGGGAAAATTGCACTACCAGTTTTACTTCGGTACAACCAAGAAGTACCGATAGAGACGAATGGGCTAAGGAAGTGGCCGAATGATACAAACAGATACGACAACATCGTGACTGCGAGATGGCGAAAGAGAACAGTCGACACAAAGAGTTACCGAACATAAGGACCACGAAAACAGCGAAACATTACGAGGCTCTTATGCTCTATGTTGCTGGCTGTTCGTACTTTCTCCAAAAGGGTTATATCAGATCGGCTGTTGTTCGGACGGGAATAAGACACAGATCTGACCGACCGCGGTGGAGCGTGATGGTAACGAGAGCAGAACTAGTCGGGGAAATGAACTGATTCGCTTAAAATTCGGTGCACGCGACAAAGGCCTCTTCACTGCGCATCACTTAGATAAGCAGGCCAAACAACATGAGGACACATAAAGATGTGCGACTGTCGTGGTTCTGAGTGCCCAGATCGCGGAGAGCTATCCTGCGGATGAGATAACATAACTGCCATGACGCAGCTTTCGTAAAATGGTCTTTCGAATTCCTTCAGCTATTTTACACACTGAACTCACCTATCTGGAGCGAACAAAATACCGAGAACATAGGACCGCGTCCCACGAAACTTGCTCACGATTCGCTCAAAATGAATGAACCGGGCAGATTTTTCTCCTTTGCAATATAAGGCAGAGGACAGATGCCGTGACCACATAGCATATTTTGGAGAACTTAGAGGAGACCTGAGCTACTGAGTTCTTGTTAGTAGTGGAATCATAGAGTGTTGAGTTTGCGGTCTGTCACCGAAGAAGCCTGCTTCATTGGGACGAGTGGAAATCTCTAGGCTACACCCAAATTATGTTCACACCACGGGACGATTTATGAACAGAATCGTGTAGCTGCCGAAACAACATTGTAAAGTGAGAAAAAAGCGTTCTAACAGGGATAAATCCGCACCTGGACAGCTAACCATGTGACTGGGCGCGTGGATGCAACGTGCAGTGAGGGGTGGGGTGACAACCAATGGCTATGTTGCAGTGACAAATGAACTGAGGCCAGGGAAATGATAAACGGTTGCACTATAGCGAAAGTGCACACCAGGATCTCTGTGGTGTATGGAAAAACACGCATGACTAGAATGCACAACATCAACCGGGTCACGCAGTTTCGTCGAATAAAGGGAAACCATCTTCTTTCCGATGGGAGATTACAAACAATCATGGGTAAAACTCTTTCCAAACTGAACAGACACAGAACATCGCAACTTGCGTGGTGGCGGATAGGTGGACCTAGATGGTGAACGATCACCGAAAATGTGGAGATGAGTTGGATGCAGTCAAGGGTTTATTACTGTCTTCTTGGGTAATGTTATGCTGACAAGAAAAGTAAGCCAGAAGGATAGTTTAACAAATATCGGGACAGATACTTAGTAGTTAACTAAACACAACCAAGCACTGATGATGTCTCTCCTGGTAAGATCAGCAAACAGATTGACAACTATATTCGTAATGCACTACTCATAAGGTTGCTGAAAATTTGTCGACAGCCCACGACCGGTTTCGTCCTTCTTGGGGCTCATCAGGTAGGCGCAGTCCCCGAGTTTGACAACTAATTAATTGAACTGAAATATGGTTAGGATAAATTTCTTGACCTCCATGCTCCCCCGTCGCTGACAGAGCGAAAGTGATATCGTCCTGCGCATCGAGTCCCGACACTGTTGCAGAATAAAGGGATGATAGTCATACATCGGAGGCAACGGACAGACTGATTCATTGATGTCTAATTGCTTCGTTTGTCCGATAAGCAACAGATGGAGGGACTATGCACTGAGGGCAGTAGGCCGGACTACCATTGGCTGAGTGACTGGATCATACTTGTCAAGGTGACTAACCACTGGTTTGCCTCATCCTGAGGTCCCCGACCGGGGAGAAGGCAGTTTCGTACACGATTGAGTTGACTTGTATTAACCTTCGCGCCAAGCTGTCAGACCAGCCACCTTTGGGTCATCACTATTCTGAATGAGGGGAGCACCGTGAGGCAAACACTCCTCTAGCATTCATTCGGGTGGGGTTGTTTTCCACTATGAAAACCTTCCGGTGTACACCAGAATAAATGATATAATGCCTTTAACCTAACCGCGTGACGCTTCGGAGAAACTGATGCTCACACAGAGAGTAATCGACGATTTACTCCACGCGGTGACGTCTCTAGTCCGTGAGGTAAGATGATAGATAGAAGATAGATCGCACCGCAGCAGTGTCCTTGAGAGTCAAACAGATGCCACGTCGGCACCACGAAATGTCGATTGGCAAACGTTGCTCTGACCACCCCAAATCGGCGAGTGACTTCATCTTTCGCTAGCCTGCGGATATGTAGGCAGCTGTTCAGACAGATCCGTTCATCTACCAAATCGATCGGCTCATTTGCACGAGGTGTGGGTTAAGTTTTACTCAGTCTTATGCTAGGTCCTAACAATTTTCAGCGGCGAATCAAACAATGAAAAGTGCACGGAAATTGTTTCGAATTGGGACGGGAAGGTGAGTTGGGCTGTGTTGAAGAGAGTGTAACACAATCCGAACTTGACGGAACCTGCCCACGCATGTTTACCGTATGACTTAATTTGTGCGTATCTCTCTCCCTATTACAGGTAGCCATGACGAGACCCAGACAAGAAGCAGTGGCCCGATTGTACACCTCTTCAAGTGACATTGAGCAATAGCTGTACCTGTAGTTGACTTGCGCCTGTACTTTCGGTTTCAATACATGCAAGTTATTACTTCGCTCCGGTCTTCTCTCCTACGTCACACAATCTGTGCGAATGTGTGCTCTACGTGCCTTGTGGTTCCAGTAGTATCAATTTCCATACCGGCACATTTCAGAACCGGAGTGTGCCATTACTGCATCCTCGCGAACGTCGAATTTAATTCAATTTTCAATTTATCGGCTATAAATCGTGCGCCATAGACACATTGGTTTCACTGCAGTGTCGATCACCGGAAAACGAGAAAGTGGAATATACAACCAAGCTTCGGAGGCGAAGGCATGTTCAGTTTGTTCGGAAATCGGGTAGATACACATTGAAGGCGATGCATGGGCGCCACTGATTGCGCGATTGGGCCATTTCTGCTAGTGTGAGTTGCATTTGTGAGTTGACTCTCCTGAGGTGCCCATCCAGAGGGGCGGTAGTTGTCGACCCGACTCAGCTTACTGTTTAGTGTTTTCATACATTATTGCCAGATCATACACTGTCTAGATCTCAGTCGCTTCCAATTACAACAGAGCTGGATGAAAAGAGCTCTGAGAGGTAGACGGTCTTCTGGCATGAGTGACCTATGAATCCTGAGTAATTCATCCATAGCGGGAGAGTTCCTTCTTCCATCTAGCGTACCTAAGCGTTACTAATCCGATATCCCCACCAGACCGGACCACTGCTTCGGAGACACCGATAGTCAAACATTAACAGATTTCGTATGTCTTGCGCAACCTGGCAGTGCTTCTTGCGGATTTTATGAGGGATATGGATCTAACTGGGGCGAGATGGCCGAAGTGGTTAGAACGCGGATTACTAACCTGAAGGTCCGCGATTCGAATCCGACCTCCGCCACTCTACTTCCCCTGTCTAGGCTTGGGCAACCTGGCAGTATCCCAGCCCTCGTGCTCCCTTCGGGTGGCATGGCAGCTAGGCACCGGAAGGGTGCTACAGCTGAACGCTTTATCTTTTATTATCTTTAATCCACCGGAACTGATACAGTTGCCCAGGTGAACAAATTTATCTACCACGTCGATCGGCTCACCTGCAAGTATGAGGTGTGGATTCGACTCCACCCAGCCTTGTAGCAGCACTTTGCACTTTGCAGGTGTGAGGCGCATGCCAAACCATGCGGCAGAGATATTTCGCTTATTCAAACTGTCTGCATTGGGGAGGGATGTGAACCAAGGGGATCAATATCGTCTGCATATTCAATGTCTGTGAGGGAACGTGTCGGTAGAATTTCAGGGCGGCAGAGAAATTCGAAGCAGCATATCAACAACAAAGTTGAAGAGGAACAGTGAGAGGACAGCCTTGTCTTATACCACTGGACTTGGTGAACTCAGGTGAAAGCTTCCCCTATACTCGTACGCGCCCACAGCAGTTCGCATACGGTGCCCTATATAGCGAATATCGAATACCACTGACTTCCTAACATCCCATGCTACAACAGACTTAACTGAAAATCATGCAAACGGAAAGACCGTCATTGGTCGGAACTCGGACCCGGGGTCTCCATGCTAAGGAAGAGTACCATTTAGACTGAGCAGCCGCAGACGATGCCTCACATCACACACGTGAACACACTGTGGTCTAATGTGTCACACGCCGGAAACTCAAACGCACGCACGAGACCTGCTAATTGCGAAACAGATGTCCACAGATGTCTATGGGGATTATGGCCGGGTAAAGTTAAGCGGTGAAAAATAAATTTAACTTGTGACTTATATTCAACCGGGAGGATGAGATCTGATGATCGATGATTTCAACAAACTAGAACTTGCGGTGGGGAGTACGCAGAAAGCAAAGAGGCTCACAAACACCTCGAACAATAGTAAGTTGTTCGAAGTTTTTCAAAATCAGCAGACTGGAAGCAGTATAAACTAGTGTTAAATGGAGATTTAACGGAAATGCAACCGAACCCCTCGTTCGTACTAATAAACTGAATGTGATGCACATAGGCCACTTCCTATTTCAGTTAGAGTGGAATTTAACATATCCTGATATGACACTGTAGCCTTTGCGAAAAACAATTAGCTGAAGCATATCACAAAAGAGACTCACGTGAGACACAGTTAAATCTACCGCAAACACAAAATAAATGTCTACTGGTACATGGCTAGTGGACTGATGGATTAGTCCTTCGCCAAATTTACCATTTCACGTCAACATTGGTGCACGTGAGATTATCAAAGCGCAGGTTTCAAATAAAGGCAATTATCTTTAAAAGTTGCGCTTCTAGAGTTCTCACCCACGTCATGAGTAGTAGTACCATTTGAAGGGGCATACTCCGAGATATTGAATATCACTTCAGCTGAAACATAAGACGGTCTTTGTGTGACACATTCGGTTGAAGAATATGAAGATCGAGAGATCCAGGAAGATTTCAACTGTCTCTCGGATGTATTAATAGGTGTGTCACTCAACACTGGCTCAATATAGTGTTCAACTATAAAATAAGATGTATGGGATTTCTGAACATGGGCCTAGTTGATGAGCCTCAATGGTGGAACCGACAGTGGGCTGATTAGATTTACCATCGACCTAATGAAGTGTCACATGAAGAGATTTTGCCTGAGGAAGACTACCTCATATACACTCGTTTGCATGTCAACTTCGTTTTGACGCCAGATTCACCTAGTACACAGCTAAATCTCCCATTTCTATGATGCTTTTAGGCAGCAGAATGTGCTGCACCATGCCGCCTCATGTTTGAGCTGATACGACGATATTCCAGATATAGCGGTGCATGTGTAGACGTAATAAGCTACTCATAAGGTTGCTGAAAACTCCTGGACAGCGTATAACCGGTTTTGCCTTTGTTGGGGCTCATCCCGTAGGTTCAGTCTCCGAGTTTCCGTTCTGCTTTAATCCAAATTGAAGGAAATTAGCAAAATACTCACAGAAACTCGGGGACTGCGCCTATCTGATGAGCCACAACAAGGGCGAAAGCGGTCGTGGGCTGTCGAAATCTTCAGAACCTTATGGTTAGCATATTACGTCTAAGACTGCCTCATCTTCAATGTAAGACAAACTACGTGCCTGTAATGAATACAATGATTCGTTGGGGGATAATGCCGGTGTGTAGTAAGAGTGGAAAACAATGAGGCGGTGGTGCCCCCGTTTCAGCTATGACCTTATAGACAGATGAGGGGGTGAGGGGTGTCAATAATGGCGAACTTAAACTGACCTTGTTACTTCGAATACTAGAAGCAACACTGAGCGAGTCCTCACTGTCTCCGCCAGAGTTGTGTCGATGCCCACGAGCACGAGAGGGGGCTGATGGGCGAACGAAGCGATCGGGAGAAGACGTCATGTTTCCAGTGACTGAAACCGATAAAACGGGAGGGTTTGTGTTCTCGTCAATAAAATGCGAGTGTTTGGAAGGCGACGAGGTAGGGGGAGTGAGATCAGTGGACTGGATGACGCGCCGCGAAACACCGTTGAGCTAGACAGAAGGAAAGGAAGGATTGACAGAATTAATTCTGTAGACGATTCAGCTTCAGTACGGTGAAAAGACATATCGACGGAGTCTTTCTATGTTAGCAAGCCAGGTATTTTCTCAAACAAACCAGAAGATTGAAACATTGAACAATTTCGTAAATTTAGGGTGAAATTTTAGAAAGAAACTCCACATCCTGTTTGGTCACACGCGCACATCGGGATCGAGCGTACTGAACTACGGATCGCAACCACTGTTATGCATGATTTATCAGACTGCACACATACATGCAGTACTACTCGGTTAATTGTATGACAGCTCGACCATGCTAAACCGAATTTATAATGAAGTGAGTAAATGCTGGGAATCCGTGAAGCGTTGCAACGCTGTTCTATCAATGCTAGGAACCATCAACAGCGCGTAGTTCGCGAATGTCTAAGGTTAGCAGGAACTTCCACATTTCAGGTAGTTATTGAATATTACGCTATTCGGCCACAAGGTGCAGTGTGGTAAGCTGGCACGGAGACAGAATATGGTGACCGTCATCCCTGAATCACACTTCAACATACGCCGTCCGTGAGGGACGGTTTCTTAGATGGCAGGTCCGTGTGAAAATTTTCCTTCCAAGCAGGTTACTTATGATTTGTCACTAGGTAAGGAATTCTGAAGGTTCGACAGAGATTTTACCGTGCACACCTGTACCATCAGGCATGTGCCTCTCTGGAAGATTAGGAACCCCGAACACTGGAAAGAATAAGAGGAATGATGCATCACACAAAAAAGTTCTCCAACACCTCTGAATGCAGGAAGCGTGCGCTGTAGTCCGCCTGCAACGATTAATGGAGGAGATACTTTACTAATCAGCGAAGATGTTTCTCAGAAAATCGATGTACCGTATTCAAGAAGCGATTTTTAGCCGTTCGCGCAATTCGCAGTTTGGAAAGGGTGGAGCATACAACATTTTGCTATAACTAATACTTCTTTCACTCTGAACACACCCCATCAAAAGAGAAAAACACCAATTTTTTTCCAATTCCTGGAGCGAATTCAGAGAAAAAACACCAAAGCTATGAGGACGACTACACATAAAATTGCAGAAATGTGCACTTGGCAACATGCACGGTAGTGATGACCAGCCAGGAAGGCGACACTCCGAACATTCCACATATTTGGCTTCGGTTAGGCACTGTACGAATTGGCACGCTTGTAAACATCGATACCACGGAATGCAAAATAAGATCATCTCGGTCAATAAGCTAAACAAGATCGAGATGAAACAAATCCAGCCAACTCGCTGCCTGCATACTGTCGGCATGACATTTTCATTGACCATGTGGTTCGTGTCGGCTCATACAATGAGGGGTGTGCACAGATGGCTAAGTTTTAGTTCAATCGGCTGCACAGCGGAGCAAAATAAGAAAACCAGCGACAAGTTGAAGCAATGGAAGAACAGTTCAGCTCCTCTGAAGCTCACGAGAATACAGAGTGGAACTGAAAGAGCTACGATGCAGCTAGAAACAAGGCTTGCGTAGAAAACAAAAGGGAATCGAAAACTGAGTCCATTTTTCCAAGACATGGACGTCATGATATGCCAAGGTTACATGGCAATATGGAGATCGGCCATTGTTGAATGGACACTTGCTGAATGCGTACAATTGGTCACATGATCAGTGCCACGATGATCAAAAATCAAAACATTCTGAACACATACTACCGGCTGACGTATTCTAATTACTATGCTCCCGGAAATTGCCAGCAACAAGACTCGGAAGACACTACTCATAAGGTTGCTGAGACCTCTTTAGCAGCCTGTGATCGGTTTCGCCACTCATCAGGCAGGCGCAGTCCCTCAACCTTATGTTCTACCTGAATCCGCATTGGACTTGGAAATAACGAATGAGGTCAGTGCGATTGCCGGTATCAAGACGTCCAGCGATCAGTGACTATGGTTTTTGGTTTGACCTCTGACCCACGCAATCCAGTTGCGACATTAATTGCATCACCATGTTAAGGGGGGGGGGTGTTAAGACACTCCACAAGGTAGACATAAACTGTTCTGCCAGGGCGTCTCACGGCGACCGCGAACGAGCTTAGATTGAACGAGCCAGAACCGGCGGTCGAATTATCTGCTCGCCTCTGTAGTGTAAAAAAACCGTCCAGCTGTAACACCCTTTCGGTGCCTAGCTGCTATGCCACAAGGAGGCACGAGGGCTGGGATACTGCCAGGTTGCCCAAGCCTAGACAGAGGAAGTCGAGTGGCGGAGGTCGGATTCGAACCACGAACCTTCCGGTCAGTAAATTCGCGCTCTAACCACTTGGTCCATCTCGTCCCCGGCGGTTTAGAACCGACCTCCATTGTATCGGAGATTATTGGCTACATTGTCACCTTTGATCGGTAGGAGACTTATACTCTTCTTCTCTGTTCCCTAAACCAAGAGATAGGCTTGATTTGAGTCACAACGTAGTGGTCGGCGTAACTGATCGTTGACAAACTGTGTCTTAGAAACTCCTCCTAGTCTGCTATCTGATCCGTGCTACTTATCCTTCTGGGTGTACAAAACAAAGTATTCATCAGACCAGGGTTACAAGCAAGTGGAACGAGCTAAAAGCTGCAAGTATCGAGCATTCCAAGTTATCTAGTGATAACTTGAAAGTCAAAACAGCTCAGTCTCGGAAACTAAGTGTCTGGAAAAGTCAAAAGTCATTTGAGTAATTGGAATGAAGGGAACTAAGAATATTGGAAAATATTCAAAATATTTAGCGTTGGTGATAAGGAAAATATCGCGGTTATTTTCTATTCCGGCGTTCCCAGAACAGTGAGTGCCAGTGTTGATCCCAGCAGACTTCCCATTAGGCTCAGGCGCTTCTTATTTTTGCACTCAAATAAGGTTAGCGACCGCTTAGTGCTGTGAACTTTGGACCCGAAAATCATGCGTTCGAATCCTGGTGTAGCTATCTGATTGGTGAAAATCGGAACGCAAAACGCGGCCGATTGTTTTCATGAGACCAAAAAGTCCTACCATTTATTCATCACCTCGAACCCCCCGTGTTAAGTAGGATTGTCTTTTCCGAGTGGATACACAGCGTACAATTGGACACTGTTACAAAATTGAACTGGGTTTTGGCGGTAGTGCAGATCGAACAACAACGACATACTTTGATGCGTGGTGCAGCAAACGAAGCGTGATGTGCGCCGCTTTAGGCGGAATTCACAAGCCGGCTTATTCAAAGGTCTGAAAACGTCTGGCGCAGACAGGTTAGGAGCTCTAAACAGAATGATTCGGCAGCAAAAATGTGCACGAGTAAAAACCAGGGAACCGTTTTTCTTCAAAGAGAGCAAATGAATTGCAAGTGACCATGGGGCAGCTATGCCCAGTTCATGCCTCATTCCGGTAATGCATGAGTGTGAAATTCAAGTAACCTTATAAGCGATTTACTACTGTTAAAGGAGAAAAATTAAGAAAAAACTCACATCCGAGGTTTCTAGATGCATTCCCGGTTTGGCTGAATGTGTGCGCACAGTGGACTGACTAGTATCGCCCGACCGCGAACTGTTTCTGGCGGTCAATGAAGCCTTCGATATCTCCGCAGAGAGCGCTTCGGCCATCGCAGAAGGATCGTACGAGGCGGCGATCAGGGCATCCGTGATTGCCTGAATATTCCTCGGAATCGGCTGATACCCGGCAGCAACAGGAGAGTCCACTTTCGAGCTGACGACCGTTTCCTGTAGTTTCAGTCGGTTAGGTGGCTGACTAGAACCAGGGACCGAATTTCGATGGGTTGCCTCAAGGAGGTTGTCCTCATCCACTTCACGCAGAACAGTTCGATGGTCTTCAGGTACAGTGCCCAAAACATTCGTGGCAGACGGTTTGCGGAACGATTGTTTCGGTTTAGAGAGAAGAAAGGGTCCCCTGCTTTGTCCGGTGGATGCAAGATGGGATAAGGCACCAGCCACCTGCTCTGGCTCGACGCACTGTGTGAGGAAGTCCAAATCAACAGAAAATGAAGAAGTCTCGTGCTTACCGTCCACAAAAGAGGAGGCAAGGAAGTTACCCAGAAAGCTGGTTTGGAGGGGGGAGCTAAAGGAATTTGGATCACATCATCCGAACTGAGAGCACCTTGTGAACTCCTATACGGGCCCAAATTTTTCACCAGTTATATGATTCGGGAGCTACTGAGGAAAAGAGAAGCTGGACAAAATCGTACATCGTACACAGGAAATTGATATGGGCAGTGGGATGATGAAAACGACTAACAGACCCGAAGAAAAAACAGATAACGTGCCTGGGTTTCCACTGGGTAGCTCGTACGTAAGTGAAGCGGTTGAAGTCGATTGCGTCGATGAAGTTCATTGATACGATCCGGATCTGGACAGGAACAAATGAGAAAAAGACCGTTCCAAAGGTAAGTAAGTAAGCACAGATTCGTAACCGGTAGTCCAAAGCGTGAGAGTTAGAACGACCGGTAGATAATCCACATTCAGAGGAGATATCACCTATATAGTCGCAGAAATTGAAGCCCATAAATCACATAGAGTCCCTGTAATCTGAACGCACCTTCCCCACCACGACGTCAGTCTGATGCCCTACCCACTTGCTTGACCATAGTCCGCACACTGATCACACAAAAGAGCTCGTGTCGAATAGTCGACGGTACGCTCGGATGATGGGCATCGTTAGAGATGCATACGTGGGAATGTGTCAGTAACGGGAATCGGTGTAAACATGCGTACAAAAAGTCACTTACCCAGGAGATCTGAATCCTTTTGGTCTTGTGCAGTTTTTTTGGGTGAGGGACGACTACCTTGCAACCCATTCATCTGTAGGCCGTCGGACCTGGTCACGGGAAATCTAACGGTATCCGATTCGACGCGTGTCATTGGGATCCGAGTAGACTGACCAGGATCGGATTTGTACGGTTCTGTAGAGAAAATGGAAAGGTGAAGCGTCTGGTGAAAAAGAAAAGTGACACAGACATAGAAATACTGTACTGAAGGAGTTTTGGCACAATGAACCCTATATTTTCCGGCCTATGCCAACCAAATTCTGATTTGGTACTCAACGGCATGGGTACCTGCGTCTGGGAATTTGTTCATCCGAACCCTATTAACTGGGTTTGCCTACATTGACGATAATCATGCTCAGGCCATCAAACGTTACTGAACAACAGTCACGAAGAGATTGGGCCTTACCGTGATGTGGGCTCTATTGGGGGGAGGGGGGAAGGCGAGATGGCCCAAGTGGTTAGAGCGCGAATTTACTGACCGGAAGGTCCGTGGTTCGAACCCGACCTCCGCCACTCGACTTCCCCTGTCTAGGCTTGGGCAACCTGGCAGTATCCTAGAACTTGTGCTTCCTTCGGGTGGCATGGCAGCTAGGCACCGGAAGGGTGCTACAGCTGAACGCTTTCTTTCTTTCTATTGGGGAAGTCGAG